AGAAAGTAAAAGAAAAAAAGCAATGCAAAAACGACAAAGATCAAAATGTTAGCGCGACGTCCTCATGAAATAAAGTCAAGGCAGAAAGACGAGTGTACGGCGGACAATGAATAAACAACGTTTGTCGAATGAAAGAAATTGAATGACTTTCAACAAAGGTTCTTAGTTCGACCCTTCCAGGCCCTTTGAAGACAGCAGCCAAGAAAATGGTTCTTTTTTTCTCGCAGCCTCTGGCTGTTTTTGTGTGATTTTTTTTTCTCTTTTTATCTTATATTTTTTAAAACTATATCCTCCTGACCGAATATTCAATTTTCTAGGATTGGGCAATCGGGAAAATCCGAGTGTATGGCGAAAAAATTTTAAGAATAACACCTGCCGAATCGTCCAGATACATATCTTTAACTAGGTTATCAATATCTTTAGCCTGAAAAGAATTTTTATTTTTATATCATTCAAAGAAGAATCCAAGCGAGTGGAAAAACTTCATTGGAACCTAAATAGATACATATCAATATTGCATCATAAATTTAATATAACAACGGTCAACCAAAAAATCAAAAATCTCTTAATAGATCTCTAAAGAATCAATCTAAAAGAAAGGGGAATCCACTCTTTCTCTTTTAAAAAGAGAAGTCTGTCTGTCGATTCTGTAAAACATCTTGGTTAAGAATGGGACAAAAAAATATATATATATATATTTATATATATATATAAGGAGCAAGGAAAATAAAAAAATTTGTCAAAAGCTTTGGATGTTATATTCATTTTGATAATTTCCATAGTTTTAACAGTCGTAACTTATTCAAATTTCAGGATGTATCATTAATTGACTACTGATTTTCTTTCTTTTCGTTTTTTTTATATTACGTTAAAAAAAATAAAGAAATGTAGTTTTTATTGGTGTTAGGCTGATTTTTTCATATTGTTTGTGCGTGTGCACAGAAATTCAATACGTGTTTGTGTGTGTGTGTGTGTGTGTGTGTGTGTGTGTGTGTGTGTGTGTGTGTGTGTGTGTGTGTGTGTGTGTGTGTGTACAGAAAGTAAAAAAATTTAGAATGTACAGGTTATGATCCATTACCCTGAAAATCTTCTTTCCTGATACACGCTGAAACTCGATCATTCTGGTTTATTTTTATATACTGCACTTTTTCAGCAAATCTCTCTTATTAACAATGACACAAATATATATATATATATATATATATATATATATATATATATATCCGAGTGTAATGAGAACAAAAAATAATATAAAAGAACTAAAAAAAAGCATTAATTCAAAAGAAACATTATAAACATCGATAGTAGAGCAATAATTATTTATTATAATTTTTTTCATTTTTGGTGAATGGAAAATCGAAGAAAAAGAAAATTGATTTAAATTGATGAAAGGATAATAAGTATTTTTTCTCTATACGAAAAAATTATAAGATATATATATATATATGAAAAATTATAATATATATAGATAGATAGGTAGGTAGATAATAATTTTTTCATAGAATAAAAATCCTTTACTCAATTTTAAAAAGATGCAAAAATTTCAGTGTATTTCTTGCATTTATATATATATATATATATATATGTATATGTATGTGTGTGTGTGTGTGTGTGTCTTGAGAGAGAGAGAGATTATTCAGCAGAATAAAAAGTAAAAGATCACTTTTTCAGTTTTTACACACATGTTTATATATATATATATATATATATGGATATATATATAAATATTATATCAAAAATATTCTAAGAAAAATTTTGAAAGTACTGAACATTTGGATTCATCCGCATATGTAGATGGAAAATTCATCAAAACCCAGTTCGGTTGAATATAACGGATTTTAAATAAAAAAAAAACTTTCCAGTTTCCATATTTTTACACACAGTCACACACACATTAACATCTGTTTCATCTAAAATTATATTCTCAAAAATCACATTAATCAGTTCATCTGGTTGCTGGATGAAGTTATCATTTTTACCCAGGAATTTTAAGAGAAAAAGAAAAAACAATCAAACCAAAAGGTTGTAAAATCTATGGAAATAGAAGATCAAGAAATTTGAAAAACAACATAAATTCCAAGATCCTCTAATTTTAAAAGATTTGGGACAAAAAAATAACTGAGCACAACGAAGAGTTAATTAGGGAAACAGTTGTTGAGAGAAAGCAAAGGTGTTTTTTAAGAGGAAAAAAATCCCCTTCAACCCTATAAAGAAAAAGAAAAAAAAAATTACAATATGATTTTGATCCAGACAAAAACATTGATAGAAAGATCTGAAAAGGGATAAAACAATTTAATTGACATTTAAAAACCCATTTTTCTTGGTAATTGAAACAGAAGTGAAATGCAAGAACTTCCAAGAAATTAAAATTTCAGTGCCTTTGAAAAAACATTCAGATTTGGTTAATCTAGACTATAATGGCGCTAAGTTTGTGGAAAAATCAGAATTAAAAAAATGAAAATTTTGAAAATTATTTTTAATTTAAAAAAATTTTTTATGAAGTAAAACCAAAGGAGATTTTCTTATTTCAATTTCTAAATTTTGTATTTTTCATCACATTTCAATCAGTATATTATTAATATGTTGAAAAGGGGTGGGGGGGGGGGAAAAAAAAATAATGCATTTTTGATCTGCCATGTTCTAAATTTTCTTCTTCTATGTGCCATGTCTCTTCAGGAGATTGATGAAATTTTCCAAAATTTTTATCCTTTGTAATTCTATCACAAATTTTTTGTCTTCCCAAAAACCTCCTCAACCATTCATTTACTCAAATTTTAACGAATAAGAAAAAATAGGCATTGTTTTTCTGTCCCAACAAGCATTCAGTCTGTTTGGGGAGCATCAAATTTTCCAAACATTCTTTTCCCAAAGAAACCCTAGAAATTTACAAAAAGAGAGAGAGAGAGAGAGAATGGGGAAGAAGAAACGGAAGAAAAAGAGAAAGAGAAAGAAAAAGAAAGAGAAAGTGAAAGAATTTTGAAAGAAGAAAAGAAAGAAAAGAGAAAGAGAAATGAAAAGAGACATTCGTTTTGAAAGAAAAAGAAAAAAAAAAAGAGAAAGAAAAAGAGAAAGAGAAAGTGAAAGAAAAAGAAAAAGAGAAAGAGAAAGAGGAAGTACTACAGAGAGAAATCAAAGATGGAATAATTTATATATCTATATCTATAAAAGGCAAAGTGTGTGTGTGTGTGTGTGTGTGTGTGTAACGAATGCACGGCCGCAGTTTTCGATGGATTTGCACCAAAATTTACATGCACATGCTCCAAGTTAGCGGGAAGGCCAAGACCGACTTTGCATTTCCGAACTCCCATCGATAGTGGAAATAATCGATTTTTTCATGCTTCTACGGTAGTTTTCATGTAGTTTGCGGCCATTTCTACTGGCCAGAGTGAGAGCCAATAGCTGGATGCCACGATTAGGCAGGAAGATTCAATTGACCAGCGTGAGAGGCAGCAGCTGACTGACACGAATGTTAACTAGCATGGTAGCATGCAAAAAAATCCCCCAAAAAACGATTGCTGCATTCGTCACAAGTGGGGAAAAAAGTTAAATCTGCATGGCACTTTACTCCAATTGGCTCATTCGCTTGTTTAAACTCAACGTTGATTCTGATTCCGCAGAACAGGGGTGGGTGTGAAGAAGTATTTGTTGTTAACATTCTTTTTTCATTTGGTTTTTCCAGTTACGAGTCCTTTAAAGCTGATCGTTTTGTGTTCATTTTGTTTAGTTCTTTTTTCGTAACAGATTTAATGTTTAGTATAGAGCTTAGAAAAAATTCGCAGTGTGAGATAGGCAAGAAGTAAGGCATGTAGCAACATCAGCACGGAAAAGGGCACTATTTTAAAGGCAAAGAAGGACAAAAATATTTTAAGTCAAGTGATAGCGATTGCTGTATGAGTCGTACGATTTTTGAATCAAGCACGGGCAACACCTGGCCATGCTGCTAGTCAACAAATAAAACTGAAATTATTTAAAAAAAAAAAAATCATCTGAAATTTAAATTAAAAAATATTAAAACATTATTAAAAATATTAAATAATTTCAGTCCACGTGATTTAATATTGACAGTTTCCAATTTTGGTGTTTTTGTCACGCTCCCATATAAATGTATGTGTCTTTTCCGTAACTTTTAGGCTGTCTGCAATAAAATTTACCCGCCATTATTAGTAGCATAACTAAAAGGCTTCAAAATGGGTAACAGATTAAACGAATGCACGATTTCTACACTCATTAAGTCCAGAAAAGAAACGAGAACAAGAATATACACACACACACAAACACACACACACTATCTTAAAAGTATACCGGACGGCATTTAAGGTAGCTCCTGCAGAGGGCACTTGATTGGGCTTTCATAACAATAGCTGGGGAAGGAGGACATTCGATAGGCAACAATAAACTACAGAACTCAAAATTGATCGCTGCACTTAAATATTGAATTAATGTATAAACTTACCTTTAAAAGTTCAACGATAATTCTTCTGCCGCTACGTAATTTAAAGACAATTTCATGTCCTTACTTTCCGTACAAACACTTATTTTGACTTTTGCTGAATTTCCCAATTAATCAAATTTATTTCCAAGTTATTATCATGCAAAAAAAAAATCACGTAAAAAATGACAGAAAAAAATGACAGTAATAAAAACTTGAGAATCCGAAATTTCAGGATTGCGGGCCTGGATTTAGGTGTAAAGTTGAAAAAGTGTATATATATATATATATATATATATAGATATATATATATATATATATATATATATATATATATATATATATATATATATATATATATATAAGCAGATATATGGATATAGATCCGATATATGAAGAAAAATATAAAAAAACAAACAAAAATCTTAATATGCAATTATGCAGTATTAATATTGTTAATATAACGTCAACGTCTATGATGATGGTCTAAAATAAACCGAAACGTCCGACGTTGACATTATATTAACATTAATACAGCATAATTGCATATTAAGATTTTGTTTGTTTTTTCTGTATATTTTTTTCATATATATATATATAAAAAAGTTATGAAAACTTCGTAATCCGTATGGATAAGTCCCAAGGAGGATGAAAATTTGAGAGCTCAATGTAAATCCAGAGCTAATATTTTAAAGAAAAATAGATTACTAAATTATATTATAATAATTTTTTAAGCACTTTAAAGGACACTGCATCATCAGATAGATAGCACTTCCAAAAGATGAAACGAAAACGAAATGAAAAAAAAATTGAAAGTGTTATCTGATGATTCCTGGAGTCCTTTAAAAGGGCTCTGGTGAAATAAATTATTATAATGGAACCTAAAAGTGATCTGTTTTTTTTAATATATATATATATATATTGTTATCAACAGACAGAATGTTTCGCTGTATCAGAACTCATATATATATATATATATATATATATATATATATATATATATATATGGTGGACTCTCCTATCTTAAACGATAAATGAGGGTCAGCACTGGATGGTGCCTTTTGTTTTATACTTATGCATTCTAGCAAGGGCTAATGTGGAGAAAATCAGGTAAGGGAAAGACATATTTCATTTGTGCTTTCTTAAGGACGATACTAGCCCAGCCTTGCTGCGGACGACAAAACCACACTGACGAATGAAATTTCTTACAGCATCTCTTACACATAATTCCCGTGTATATCTTTGCATGTGTGAGTCTCAAAATGCGACGAAAATTCGTTTGCTGTTTCTATTTATATTTTTTTTAACAACAAAATCGGCTCCAGCGGCTTGGTAGCTCGTTGCGAATTTTTCTGAGTAATGCGTGGGTGAATGTTGTATTTTTTTTTAATTTTTTAGCCAATAGGATTTCTTGAAACATTTAAATGACTGTTTTGCTATGGACATTTCTCGAAGCTTATTTTTATTTAACAACCAATGAAATTCAAGAAAGTGTTTGAAAATTGAAATGAGGGTTGCTAAACTTTTACTCTCTATAACTCCTTGTTTCTTAGTGACATTATTGCCTTTCTTGGGGTGAAATGATTTGAAAAAGAAAAGAGGCTAAATAGTATACTGAACATACAAAACATTTATTAAGATGATAAAACAACTCACACTAGAAGACAAGTTCTTTTCTCTCTTTCTTGTGTAATCTTAGAGTGGCTTTACTAAAAGCAATGGAAGAACAGTGTTTATTATTAATACGACGCCATTTCCTTCGCAAAGGCTTACATTCCACTGAATAAAAAAGTGAAATAAAATGTTTAAAAAAAAACGATTGAATGTCTGTAAGAAGGCGATATGAAAATTCAATATTGCTTTATAATTCCGGAAAAATAAAAAATAAAAAGTCGATTTCAAATAATACAGTGTTTTAAGAAGTGAATCGACCTTTTTTTTTCCTTTCGATGAAGAAATCGGGGAAAGAATTATTTTTCACAAGAAATGTGAAGTCGAAGTGAAACGACTTCAGATTTGTGCATATGATTATTTTTTTTAACATTTTTTTTATTTTAATCCCACACCCTTTTTATCGCTTCTTCTCGACAGCTGAATTGAGTTTATTTATTTATTTCCTTCCTTGACGCGTTGATCTCAAAATTTTCGACCTTCATCAACTGATGCTTATTGCTTTCGAAGCATCGAATAAATATTTTTATGTAAATTATTTTTTTCTAATACAGGGTGAACAGCTTACTGCTTGACTTTGACAGGATATTTTTTTATTTCATGTCATTGTTGATGCTTTTATTTTTTAAATATGACTTTTTTTATTATTTTACTTCATTTTTTGTAGATTTTTATTACTTAACATCCGTCTATGTCAGAAGACTATTTCAATACGTTCATATCTATCTACGAGGGTCGTTCAAAAAGTCCTAAGCCTCACCCAAAAGGATTTGGAGAAACGAGAGAGTTCTTCGCTATTTTTAAATACATTCACCCTTTACATCAATGCAATGCTTTGATCCAACGAAGTTTAAGCATTGCAGTCCCATCATGGAATAAGGTGGCGTCGTGGTTCTTCAAAAATATTTGATCTCATTATTGTTTTCCAAATTGTGACCACGCAGGTGAGATCTGAGTTTAGGAAAAAGAAAGAAGTCAGATGGAGCAAAGACTGGTGAGTAAGGGGGATAAGTTAGCAGTTCAAAGCCACAGTTGTCTAATTCAGCTACAGCAACCTAAGAAGTGTGAACGGCGCGATATCCTGGAACAAGATCATACCTGTTCTCAGATTTACATCAATGCACTTTGATCGAACGATGTTTAAGCATTGCAGTCCCATTAGGGAAGAAGTTGGCGTCGTGGTCCTTCAAAAACATTTGATCTCATTATTGTTTCCAAAATGGTGACCACGCAAATAAGATTTGAGTTTAGACAACAGGAAGAAGTCAGCCTGGGGAATAAGAGGGATGGGGTATCAATTCAAATAAGATAACTTTTCACTATTTTTCAATATAGTCCCCCTTGACATCAATGAACTTTGGTCTAAAGATGCTTAACCTAAGCATGGCATTCCAAGAAGGTGGCGTCCTGAACCTCCAAAAACCCTTCCACAGCACATTTGATCTCCCCACTGTTTCCAAAATGGCGACCATGAAAGTGGGATTTGAGTTTAGGAAACAGGAAGAAGTCACATGGGGTTAAGTCTTGCGAGTAAGGGGATAGGTCAGCAGTTCAAAGCCGCAATTGGCTGATTCAGCTACAGCAACCTGAGCAGTGTGAACGGTGCATTATCCTGGAGCAATACTGTACCTATTCTCAGATTAGCATCTATGCACTTTGCTCCAACGATTTTTAAGCATTGCAGACTCAACACGGAAGGTGACATCGTGATCCTTCAAAAACATATGATCTCATTATTGTCTCCAAAATGGCGACCATACCTGTTCTCAGCTTGACTCTTCGTTTTGACTTAATTATTGCCTTCAGTTGTCTTCATTCTGATGCAAAGTACTGTCCGTTAATAGTTTTCGCTTTTCTACGTGGTCTACCATGATTACGCCTTCAGGACACCCCCTCCCCCCCCAAAAAAAAACAGAAGCCATTTCTTTGCCAACAGACGCTGTCTGCTTGAAATTCTTCGAGGTTGGAGAACCAAAATGTTTCCAATATTTGCTTTAAATCTTTGATTCAGGTTCGAGGTGGTGAACCCAGGTTTCATCTTGAGTTACTAACCCGCAGTGGAAATTCTCCGGATCAACCTGGAAGCGAACCAGAATTATCCTGAAAATACGAACCCTTTTCATCTCTGGTGTCAGCATTCTTGTGACTCATTTTGCAGACAGCATTGCCCATCCCCAAGATCTCACTTGAAACAGTATGGACCGGACCAGAATGCCTACGCACTTAGCTATCGGCTGGGCAGTAAGACGCCGATCATCCAAAACCATACGATGAAGGGCATCAACTTATTCGTCAATGGTTGAGGCTTTTGGACGACCTGATCGAAGCCCATCTTCTAGGCTGACCCTGCCTTGCTTGAAATTCCGCGGCCCACTTCGTCATAGTTGTATAAGAAGAAGAGTCCTCAACAAGTGTGTGTAGCATGTCTTAATGGATTCCCTTGAGTGTCATACCTTTTTTTTACAGATATTTATGACTGCTCGGGCCTCTGTTTTGTTTATTTTTTGATTTGTCACACATCTCTCACCTTTTGCATGGGCCTCATCTGCTCAGAAATTATGACAGAAATCTGAATTAGTTTTTCTGGTTTTATTGAAAAAGAAGTGATTGCGTGTTGCCACAAAAATGCTCAGCTCTTTTTTCTGGTGAGACTTAGAACTTTCTGAACGACTCACCCAGCTAGCTAGCTCTCACAGGTTTTTTGTCACATCGATCTATCGATCACACTTTATTCATATTTATCTCAATTTCAGTTTGTTCATATATATATGTATATTACAGTATGTTCATATCTATCTATCTCAGTCTGTTTATATCTATTTATCTATCTATTTGATCCAGTCTATTCCTTATCTATTTCGCGTTCTGGGTATGACGATAAACTACATCCGCGTCCTGGGTAAGACGATAAACTACGTCCAACAGCAAGGCCTCTGATCAGGAGGTTTTGAGGAGCGTGGGACCACCTGTTAATTGCTGTTGTTCCCAGGTCCACCCTGACCCGGGGTGGTAGCACCTGTTAGGGTCCCAGCTATGGGCAAATAGTTAACCCAGAAACTGTGTTAAAAACACTATGAAAGTGTAAAAATACTTTGTAAAATATTGTTACCAGCAATAATTTTTTAAGAAAAAATATTACCAGAAATTGATTTTTGACAAAGCAAAATATTACCAGCAATAAAAATTTTGTCGGCATTAAATAACCCATTGAGGATGATATGCTGTAAAACAAAAGAAAACAAAACAAAACAAATCATTATCTATTTTAATCTGTTCTGCCTGTCTATATATCTTTCAGTTTGTTCTATCTGTTTGCATACATATAAGCAAACTGTGATAGATAGATAGATAGATAGATAGATAGATAGATAGATAGATAGATAGATAGATAGATTCAATTGCTGACGAGTCGACTGAACGATTACCAAAAAGGTTCGTCTACGAAACTCTGGTATCGGGATAATGAAAATGACATCAATCAGCTAAGTGACAAATTTCATATTTGTATTAATCATAGATAGATAGATAGATAGATATGAACAGATTGAGAAAGAGATTGACACCTAGCTTTGAATAGATGGAATAACCAAAACGGAGGTTGGAAATGAAATGGTAATCTTTATAACATCAACAAAATACAATACTCGCCAGCGACGTGAAGTAGGTAAACCACTGCAAGTGGTGGGCTACTTAGACAGCATATTACGATATTTAAAAATTTCACCACGATAGGATGTAGCACAAGGCCAAATTTAAGGTGAATTGTATGTGAAAAGGTCGGGCAAAAATTGCCGTGTAGAACCCTGCATACGCGGATTGGCAATTTGTGTATAAAAAAAAAAACGATTTTTATTTCGGCATAGCTTCATCCGGGTTCCTCTCTGTCCAAATGCAGAGAGTTGAAAATAATAAAGATGCTTCCCATGCCAGCTTAGGCAGAATATGATAACAGAACAATAGTGTCCAACGTATTTATGGGGATTGGGACATAACCATTTGTGTTCATAGATACGCTATATAACAGTTCTTAATGAATTTGTTCCTGTTTCTTAATACTTTGCTTAGTTTTAGGGAGACATCTTTCACTGATGTCTGATATAATACTGCCCAGATAAATGTCGGTACTTGCTTGAGTATAATGCCACCAAATACTAACTTGCACCTTGTTCCTTTTACTGACGGCCAGACATACTGTCTTCTTACATTTGATGGTTCTCCCTGGCAAAATAAACACTGTGTAAATACAAGATGTCTGATTGCTGTTGGCACACCTCTTACTCTGAAACTTGTCCACGCATTAATCTGTACAGACGAACATTTATTGTGTCTGTATGCATGCGAAGACATGACAATATTTCCCTAAATTTCTTTTTGATATATAAAGACTTATTTACATTATTCGGACTGTTATCCATATTCACGACGTTTCGGCCGCTGTTCACTCCGGCCTTCTTCAGATGATTGGAATTTCGAACCGAACCCTTTATTTCGTCCACCGGATTAGATTGTTCTAGTTCCACGTGCCATGCCTCTTCCGGATGTCTCAGTTATTTTCCTTTAACTCAACTGAATGTTATTTGTCCACCAAAAATATCTTAAAGCCTGGTATTAAAATGAGGATAACAGTCTGAATAATGTAAATAGTATAAGTATTTATAATACATCATTTCAGAGATATAAGACAGATATAAAGAATTATATATCATTCTGAAACACAAACGCGCGCACACAATTAGGTAAAGGGAGTTCGTTTGGTTATTTTTTTGTTTTATCTCTATATAAACCTCAACGGGTTATTTAATGCCGACAAGATTTTTATTATTTTGGTAAATATTTTTTTTTTTTTTTTAAAAAATGTATTGCTGGTAATAAAGTTCTGCTTTAGCATTAAAATATTTTTTACATATTTCATAGTGTTTTGACCCTAATTTGGGGTTAAATATTTACCCATAGCTGGGAATTAACAGGTGTTACCACCTTTGGTAAGTGCGGACCAAGAAACACCAGCAATTAAGAGGTGGTTCAACGCCCAAAAAAAAAAAATTCCTCCTGATCAGAGGCCAAACTGCCGGATGTAGTTCATCGTCATACCCAGGATAAAATAACAGGGTGTTCCAAAAGTCACTTTGGTACAGGATGTTCCAAAAGTCGCATATATATTTTTCAGCCATTTTTTTTTTCTGAACTTATATTAAATATTAGCAAACATAGATAAGAAGAAAAATAATAAATTTTGAAGTTCTAAAAAAAAAAAAGAAAGTAGAAATAAATGGATGAAAAATACAACATTTTGGAACGCACTTTTTTCGAGAAATATACCAGTGTGATGCTTTGGCAAACTTCATCATTGGTGTTCTTAACCGAGGTTCACTGGAAGTTTGGGGTTCTTCAACATCATACTCCCTCTCCGTGGTGACCTAACAGATACTCCTCTTGGTAATTTATTGTCCAACCATGAATAACTTCCGGCTCACCAGCATTCTACGCTCTTTAATAAAAAAGGAGGCAAAAGGAGTAACGGTTTCGATCTGGTACGGAACATGGCGACGCGTTCGGCTTGATGTGGTAAGCGAAGATCTTTGTTTCTTTTTACGGAGATATACGAAATCATACACATGAAAAGAATTCTACTCACTCTTATCCTGTTTCCATTCATATTAATCATCCAATGAACAAATGAAAAATATAACAAAAAAATATAAGACCCTCCCCTTATGTCCATTGTGCATATAAAAATTACCGTAACCCTGGTAAGGGGGCAAACAGGAGCTAGTAGGTAACAAAAATCGCTAAAAAAAAGGAGCATGGCTTGATGAAAAAAAGACGCCAAACCTTGCCGAAAACAAAATTTTATTGTCTAAATGCTTTATGTTATTATTAAGAGGAAAGACAAAGTTTTTTTTTTAATTATTTTAAAAAATTTTCCTTCTTTTAGAAAATTCTAAATTTTGATTAAAAAAAACCTTTTTCTATTTGTATCAGCGGAACTAGTAAATAAATAGACAATTTTTAGTTTTTTTTTTTTGGTATGACACACATTAATTTGAAAAAATCGTGCAAAAATAGAAATAATTATCGGATGTTAATGAAACTTTCAGGAACTATTCACAGATGATCGAAATTATTATAAATATGTTTTTTTTTTTTATGAAAGTCATGGTAGAAATATTTTTTTTAAATATTTATTACCCCCATAACTAATTTTATGAAAACGCTAGAAATTCGATCGCATCGGTTTTAGTGATTACAATAATTAAAAGCACAGGGCTTTGAGGAATGCAAATCATGTTTTTTTTTGTTTTTAATTGGATACGCAGTACCTGAAAATCAGCTCTGAATTGTAACACACAAAACTCAATAAAACAAAGATATTATTTAATTTCAAATGCTTTTATTTGCT